ACTCACTCTTTGCATCGCTAACTCAAAATGCAAATAGGTCTGAAAAAGACCTAACTGTCGAAGTTTGGGGGAAAAAAGTGAAGCGAAGTATAGCAAAAAGCAGAAAAATGTGCTGGAAGTGCGCAAAAAAGCATGAAAGCCAAATAAAAAATAAAATACAAAGATACACTTTTAGAAGGCTCCGGTTGAAGCTTGAAAAATAGACAAAGGTTTGACAAAACCAAAAAAATAGAAGAATAGAATATTTCACCTGGAATCTCTATTTCGCACACACTCATATATGTAAATATTATACATCATGTAAGGTATATAAATAAACATGCACCGTTTGCCAGCTTGTCTACACCCTTTTCACAAACTGATTTATTTATATTTCTCCAGCCAGATAACAATGATTTATAAAAAAATATTTCTTACGAATATGTGAGAAAAATCAAAATGTTTTATGTACATGATAATTGAAATTTCTTTTTGCAAAAAAGTTAAAAAAATATATATGTAGAAGTATGTAGTTTTATCGCAAACATTGTATAGCAGCGATAATTATTTATAAAGAAGTTTAGTTTGTTTAGGCACAACAACAACGCGCATGCACACGCCTTACCTTGTCTGCGGTTTATTTTCGAACTTGTCGTGTTGTTGGTTGATGTCATCGCATATTGCGTTTTACTTTGTTTGCCGAAGTAATTAACAGTTGTGTTTGCATGCAGTTTATGAGAGCGAAGAAATGTAAGGAAGACCAACCTAAATTTGAAAACAAAACTATAAAAATACTTCACAAACAGCAAAAGCATCAAAAGCTGAGCGAATATGCGCAAAAATATTATTTTTCTATTTTGAGGTTAGGAGCGGTTGGAAATAAGGGATAAAAAGGAAGATAAGTATATGTATTGTATATCAATACTATATTTTTGTGTCTCTACACTAACTTCTAACTTCAATTTCTTTGGGTAATGTGTTTATAACGGATTATATGTACATATATGTATATATTGGCTTACTTCGGCGTAAGTTAAAACTTTCGCACAACAAATTCGATAATCAGAATCATATTTGTAGCACAAGCAATTACAAAGAAAAACATAAAAATCTCAATGAAAGTAAAAATTAAAAGTCTACATAAAAATAGATTAAAAGTATATGACAACTTTTGACACACCCCAATAAAAAATGTGGAATTACCTATGTTGCTCTTCTTTAGTGTTTTTTTCGGAACCAAAAAAGGTAAACATCTTAAATGTCGTTAGGTTAGTACAGCTGCGAAAATTAAAGAGAGAGTGTGACTGCACTGAAAATATTTAAGAAATTAAATTTATAAAATATTTTAGTTCGTCGAATTACAATAAATATACATATGTGCATACGCCACAAAAATTTTGGTTTAATTTTCTTGAATTTTTATAATAAATATTTTACATTTTACAAAAGCATGCAGAACTTTGTTTGTTAAAATTTTAACGAAATTTAACAAAACTACATAAATTTAAAAAAAATAGCATTAATAACTAAAAAATACATAAAATTATAGTAAATATCATTAAAAATGTGTTGTACATGGCGTATGAGCGACATAAGTGTCCATATACCAAAAAGCTTAATCAATAAACTTTTAAAGCTGTTGAAGAGGTTTATTAAAAGCTTGTTACTATACAAGCGTCATTTGAATAGAAATTAAACAGAAAAAAAATCATGAGAATTTTTGCTCACCATGGCGTATGAGTAAATTACAATAATATACTTTTTTTTGTACATAAATATATGTATGTATGTACATCATACGTGTTCTACGTAGAGAACACTATAGTTCACCATACATTTTAAGCCACAAATGCCAATCTTATATCAACAATACTAACCTCACTTTTCTGTTTTCGCTTACAGGTCTGCAAGGTGCTCGACATTGTCTGTGAAATGGAATATTTCGGCCTCGAATACTGGACACCCAATCAGGAGGAGTCACGCACACGCCAATGGATCAATCTGCGTAATCGCCTGTCGTGCGACAACAGCAGCAGCAGTATACATTTAATGCTAGCGCTGCGCGTAAAATTCTGGGTACCTGTCCATTGTCTACTACAAGAGAGCGTACGCAACATTTTCTATATGCAAGCACGTGCCGACTTATTGGAGCGACGTCTGCATGCACGTGACTGGAACAATGCGGCCAAATTGGCAGCGCTGCTCTGTCAAGCTGATGGCTTACACTTTAATCCACTCGCGCTGAAGGCCAAATGTCCCACACAAATGCGTCGCCGCAGCGCTGGTGATGTTGCTCAACAACAACAATGCCAACACAAAGAACGCAAAGACAAAGAACATGTATTGTCATTTAAAAAGCGACGCCTCTCCAAACAAAAGTCCACCGAAAACATACATAATTCACATCTGGCCGCCGCTGTCTCCGATGAGGGTCTAACGACATTGAGCGCGAGCATGAAATGTGCCAACGCACTGTCACAAATGGCCACCGCAACAACACAGGCGTGCGATAGTGATTCTGGCGAAGACAAAGCCGCCGCGGCAGCATTATCACCATTATATGTTTATCAAAATTATAACATATATCCGGCGTCTGTCGATGGTGTTGACGTCGATATGCCAGAAGACTACTACAATCGCATTGCTATAGAGCATGGCAAGTTGGCGACACTGAAAATGACAACAAAGTCGGCAAAGTATTGGCTGTTGAAGCAAATTCAGGATCTCGAGGGTTACGGTGAGGAGCTGTTCAGCGGTGTGACGGCGCATGAGAATTCGGTGCGTTGCGATGTGTCAGTGGGTACAAATGCGATCACGACCTGCGTGGGAGGCGAAAAGAATGTGTAAGTATTTTTACAATCACTCAGATTCGGTCATATTCGGTTTGTTAGTGTGGTAGAGGGAGGAAAAAATTACAATTGGAAATATTTTGTCTAATAAATTAGTTGCAAACATGTATACATACATATCTTTATGTTCTAAATTGCTATTCGTATACAAATTTTTCTTAAAATAGACTTTCTATTTGTTTAATTTTTTTTTTTATTATACTTGTTTTTGTGTTTGTTTTTTTTTTTTTGTTTTTTTTTGTTTTTTAGCTATAAACATCTCTTTCATTTTAAATTTTTCACAAATTTTAATCATTTCAAATTTCCTCTCCTGTCTCTTGCAGCATCCCATTCAGCGCAATTGCCTCTGCAAAATCATTTCGTCGCATTTTCAAATTGGAATATGTCGGCGATTGCAATGATCGTCGTGAGCTCGAAATCAAATTGCCAAAACACTCGATGGCCGCTGGTCTCTACCGTTCCATAACGGAGCGACACGCCTTCTATGTCTGTGATAAAGTACGCGGTGTGGTAACCAATCAATTTACACGCGATCTCAAGGGTACTATCGCCTCAATGTTCAAAGAGGACACCGAGCTGGGTAAACGCTATGTCTTCGATATACAACGCACCTGCCGCGAAGTGCACGATCAGGCGCGTCGTATATTGCACGAAAAGGGTATTGAAGTTTTGAATAACACAACAAGTGGCAATGAAGATCTCTTTGAAAATATGCTCAGCGGCGCCACAAAGACGCTGAGCGCGAGTACACTACATCCGGCTGATGAAGAGGTTACGCAGCTGCATATCGATGACATCAGCGCTGTCGCCGATAAATTAGACATGGCGCTGCGCGAGAAGGAGAAACGCGATGCGGCAATTGCACGTTGCGTTGAGGCTCGCATCTCCGAAGCGATGACCTGTAAAATTTGCATGGATCGCGAAATCAACACAATGTTCAATCCCTGCTCTCATGTGACCACCTGTGCAGAATGTGCGGCGAGGTAAGTTCAAAAAAGCCCGAATAACTCAAGCGCAGCATTTCAATTCATTTTCATTTTCTCTTTACAGATGTATATACTGCCCCAGTTGTCGGGTAAAAGTGACGAGCACTACGCGCATATACTTACCACCCGAACTGCGCATGAGCGTAGCCACGCCAACCGCCACCACCAGCTGTGTCGCTGCACATTAGTCGAATTATTTCCGTTATATTTCTTTTGATCGAATCGCATTCGTAAAGTGGACTTTGTTTGCAGTATAAAATAGAAAAAAACTCGAAACTGTGCTAAACGCTTTATTGACGAGTTATTAAGCTTAGACTTACACTCTATATATAAATTTATTGAATGTCGTCATGCAAAACCATAAATATTTATAAGTGAACCTAAAGTAATTATTTAACTGTTTTTTTTTTGTAGTACATATATGCAATTGTTACTAATTTCACCGTTAAGTTAAAAATAGTTTTATACAAACAAACGTACTGTAAGTAATTAAGACTTCGAACTATTTTAAGTTAGTTGGTTGCCAATGCATTCATATTTTATTTAAAACAATTATTCTTAAACAAATTTATATTAACTAAATGTGTGCTTAAATGCCGTACATTGAAAAAAAGTATTGAAACCCTTAAACGACAGGATTGTTATAAAATTTTTTTAATATAAAACTTATAACTATTAAAATATAAAGAAAAAAATACGTAAAAAAAACAATTATAAAGAATTTTGCAATATTTGCACTTTTAATTTATAAAAAAAAAATATTTTTTGTATGTACGTTTTTCCAACAGCATTTAATAATAATTACAAAAAAGTAGTAATAGAATTTGAATTTTCAAAAATATGCGTCATTGTCGCAGTTTTTCGATGAATTTTTTATTTTTATTATATCTATATTATATCCTAAAGCATTTCAACTTTTGATTAAGGATTTTTGAAATATTGAAAATGTTTAAATAATATATTTTGTCGTGCCTTTGTCGTATTTTTCCCTATATTTGTTATAATTTTAAATTAAAATATTTAATGGCTTATGAAAAACGTACAATTTAAACATCCTATAAATTATAATTTTAATATTTTGTATTATTAACATATATCCTCTAAAAGTGGAAAGAAAAATTTAAACCACAAGTACAAGAAATATAAAATTAATAAAAACAAACAATTAATTGTATAAAAAATATATGTCTATTATTTTTATGGTAAATAAAGCCAAATTGAATAAAAAGAAAACTAAATACCGTTATCTACCACTACAGAAATCATATTTTCGAAAATAAGCCGCATCAAGGGAGTTCTGACGAGTCTCAAGGGAGACGAGTGCCCGCAATTACAATAGACCCGGATTCTACTGCGGAGATAGATTGTCATATAAAAATAGTTGTTCTGAGATAAAAGATATTATGTCTTCCCATTACGTACGAGTATGTGTTGATAAAAAATAATATAAAAATAGTCGCTGTGAGGAATTTCTAAACCATCCTCATATTAAGCCTCTTATGTATTGTGGCAACGTTGAAAACCGAAATTCTTCGTCCAAAAATTTAATCAAGAAAATATTTTCAAAATCGCATGTGGCAACGCCCTTAGTAGCCAATCGGAAAAAATGCTACAAATGTCAGACAATAGCAAACAATTGGTTGACAGAATTGTTCAAAATGGACGCAATATCTTTGTGTTCCCATTCTCAGATCGCGTGAGCAGCAGTGATAAGTTTTTGCAATTTACTTTTCCTAATAAAAAAGTGGAGTGTGAAAACTGAAAAAAATGCCAATGAATTTAAATTTGTGATATACTACTTATAAATGGGACGAAAGTGGATAATAATTCAAGGGTTTACGTAAAATTTCGTCCGGGTAGTGAAGAAACAGTCAATATACAAATCAACTAAAACTGTCTGATGGAATTTTGTAATACACCAATTGCGAGTTTTCTTTGTGACCTCACTTTTTGTGTTTCGGCGTTTGTGTGTGTTTAGCGTACTTTAGCAGAGCGTATTGTGCTGTCGTAGGTTGCCAAAACGATGTTTGTAGCAGCATTTTCTTTGCAAGTATTATTAAAACAAAAAATGCGATAGAAATTCTCCAGCAACTGCAGTCGAAAAGTTAGTTAAAGCAGCCAGAAGTCAGTAGTTGATGTGCGGTTGTTTGTGTGTACGTCAATCCTAAACGAGCGACCGACTGGCTGGCTGGCTGGATACGAAAAACGCAGTGACAGAAAAGAAAACAAGACCACAAAAGAAAGAAGGTAGTACAAGCGATCGGAAATTGTGCTAGTGACAATTTGGCAGTTTTTTGTTTTACGCCAGCTTATATACCTTATTCTTTTTTGGTTCAAAATTATAATGGATTAGTTAAATAATGCAATACGTAGAAGTGCAAATTTGTTTCCACGTATAGCCAACTTGTGAATGAAGAACCAACACATTGCAGTGTTAATTATGAAGTACAATAATGTGTAACACAAGTATGTATAATTATTGTAGAAAGAGATAAAAGTTTATACAACAAAAAAAAAATGTATAAATTTGCAGTAAAAGTACTGAAAAAATACAAAGAAACCAATTTTGAAAGTGCCTACAAACAAGGACAAATTTGTATTCCTTTGAAAAACAAATAAAGTGATAAAAGCGGATTATCGGTTAGCGTTCTGTCCGCTAAAACTAGTTTATTATAACAAAAAAAAATATATATACGCCTTTACGATTTTAAATTTCATTTACCGTCTAAACGCATTGAATTATATGCATTGTCATCATTTGTCTACACGATCCCAAAAGTACAACGACGCATACTTGCTGAAGTTTAGGTAAATATTTGATATAATAGGTTTAAAACATTTACAATTATTTGTTTAAAATTTTTTTCAGTTATATATTATGGAAAAAGGGAAAGTACATGTGAAAAACGAGCATCGTGGCGTGTCTGCACAAACACAACAACAACAATTAACGCCAAAAATTGCTGAAGGTCATCCCACAACGTCACTCTCACCCGAATTGAAATCTGCGCCCTTTATGGGAATGCACCATAACATAGAACATCCACCACAAACAGTGTACTACCATCCACAACGCCCTTCATCGAAAACGAATACAACAAATATTTCGGAATGTGAAACTATCGGAAATTCAGCTAATGATGGTGTATTCCCTTTATGTTACGTATGCGGCGGTAATGGTGGCTGCGAATCTCTTCGCGTACGTCCTAATCAGGATTGTCCAACTGAACCGTATTTTCCATTTTTGGAACGACATGAACCACCTAACGCTGTACCAAAGCTTACGTCTACACAAACATATGTAATCGCTTGTATGCTATGCTATCGATCCTTGCGAGAGCAATGGGACGCGTACGAACGGAAAAAGAAACCACATTTACAACGTTTGTATCATATGAAACGTGTTGATGGGAAAAGTTACATTGGCGCCGACATACAAACACAAGGTGAATACGCTGCACAGATGCTTGGTCTCAGTGCTGAACATTTGCAACATGGTAATTTGCATGAAGATTTTGCCTATTTAAGTGGTGTGCCGCGAACGCCAAATCGCGCCGATTACGAACGTCCATCGAATGTGACGAATCAATATTATTCTTTACAACCGAACGAACCGTCATTGTCAGTACATTATGCTCAAACGAATAACACGCCTAGCTCAACGGCTCAACAATACTGTGATTATTATAATCGAAACTTTAACGCTACCTTGAATGGCCAAATAACGCCACAACCAAAAGAAAAGCAAACTGGCACCACGCAGTTACCTAAGAATGTGGCACATATGAATGAGGAACCTGCCGCGGTTGAAACTCGTAAATCTCTCGGTAGTGGTTCACCATATGACTCGTTAAATATAAAATCGTCCTCATTTGCTCATCATAAATTTAAATTAGGTCAGATTTCGAGTATGAATTCAGCTTCAGCTCGTAATGAACTAAACTCATCAAATGAAACTCAAAAGGTTCTTCATACAAATCCTGAAAGTAAACAACAACTACAACAACAGCAGCGGCAAGATCGTAACAGTCCTCAATACGACTATGGCATCGCAACTGGTGTTGTTGGTGTTGGTGTTGGGGGTAATCACTCCAATGCCGCGTCAATGGCTGATGTTATTGACGATGCAAGTGGTGCTGCCTTGGATTTGCGTAACTCATCAAATAACATCTGTGAACCATACATGTTGTCATGCGGTACTTCACGCCAAATGTTTCGAAATGCCTCACCTAGTAATAATGCCACCAACCAAGTCGATGTCGGCATTCTCGACTTGTCAATGCCCGACAAGAATTCATTGACTGAAGTTTGTTATGTTTGCGGTGATGAACAGCGACGTGGCAGTCTCATCGAACTAAGCACTGTGCGTTCGAAGGATGGAAAGGGTCGCCATCATCCATACTTTCCGATTTTCAATGAACAAATACCGCGACCGCCGCGCTCACGTCCCAAAGATCCACGTGGCATGATACAAGCTTGTCAATTATGCTATGAACATCTTATACAACAGTGGAATAATTACCAGGTAAGTGTTAGCTGACGGTGTGTAACCTATTTATATGCATTTTATAGCAGCAATTAATATGCACAAATGCATTTATTATAAACAAATATATATAAGTAAAAAATAAATATGCATAAATAGTTATAAAGTTAAAAAAGTCATAAAATTAAATAATTCATAATAAATGTAGGTCCAGATTACACTTTTTATTGCAGACACGTGCAAAATATTTAAAAAAAAAATAGAAAATGCTAACAGATAGCAATTAAATGACTTTGCATTAACGTCATGCAGAGAACGTTGAGAAAAATGAAGCTTTTCTAAAAGAATAACACTGCGAAACGAAAAACAGATTTCAGTGCGACGACATTTACCGTTAGTCTACTACAACTACTACTAAAAACTTCAACTTTTGATATAACATTTTTTTTTGTGTAGTAAACTAGGTCAGCGTTGCCTGGCTATATCTGATTGGTTAGAACGCTATAACGTTTCCATTTCAGGTTTTGGAGCGTATTTTTTAGTTTTCCGTAGAAGTTTTGAACAAAGAAATTGAATTAAAATTTTTTTTTATTAGAAATTACAGGAGCTCCCGCTAACGACGTTTCGATTGTAATGCTTGGGTTCAACAGATCAATTCGAACCCAAAAATTTTTTTTGTCAAAATGATCCTTTTTTATTTACCATCTGGGTTGCAAATAATGCATTAAATCAATAATTGAATTAACATTTGAACTAAAATTTTTTTTTATATTTTGTAATCCTAAATATGGGATTAAAACAAAAAAAATGTTTATCACACATACCGGACTAAAAATTTATTTATTATTTTTATTCCCAATTACCGGATTAAAAAATAAAAATTTTGTCCCATGCATATAATAAGGAATTAAAAAAAGATTTTAAAATTAAAAAAGAAAGTGTTTTAAAATTAAAAAAAAGAAAGTGTTTTAAAATTAACATTTTTTCGGCTTTGCGTACTTCATTCAAATAAAAACAAAAATTTTCAATTTTAAATTCCAAACGTTTTCGATTAAAAATATAATATGAATTATTAGACTAAAAAAAGAAAATTAAAAAATACAAATCTATTGGAACCAAAATTTTTGAAGTTAAAATTCGCAACCCTGTTTACCATACATGTTGTTGTTGTTATAGCAGCAGAAGATAACCCTAAAGTAATTTGGAGGAATACTTCATACCGAGTTCACAGCCCTTGACAGAAAAAAAACAGTGTCCGATCCGACTGTCGTGGGTGCGAAACGGATAGTCTTTTTGGACGATATCACCAGCGATGTTACGACTGTTTGATACCATTTTTGTAGTACAACTTCATCTTTTATACTTTTCGTGTAGCGTGGCCTTAGCAATTTTTACCAGCTTATTTATGTAGACCCTATCAATTTGAAGGATAACTTTCATGGTCCTCTTACTGTTACAACTAACTTATGCAAACAGGGTGAGGTCGCCGAAATAACAACTTTTATCTTGCTATAATCCAGGTACGGGTCTGGTAACGTAGAATAGGCTGTTGTGGGTATTGAGGCATGATTCTCTATTCAGTAATGACACAGCAACTTCTTTTTACTAAGGGTTTGTAGTTCTAAGATAATGTCTATGAAATTATAAACTAAACAGTTTTGAGCAATATCGCCTAAATCACGCTACAACTGTCCACTGTCGAAGCTACTTCTGATATAGTAAGGTATTTTGTAGCAAATTTCCTAGTAGTCACGTTTTAAAACATCAAAAAACAACTCGTACTCTTTATCTTTCACGTTTTACCCTTAACAGTAAAGTCAATAAAAAATTAATTTTATTTAACAGCATATAGTAGAGCCATTTAAAAACAGCTGAACGATTAAAAATATAAAACCAATAAGGGGCATAACAACAATTTACACAGCGATGGTTTTGTTTTAATTTGTGAGTGCTAACCTATTTTTGTACCCAATTTTATAACCACTTTGAATGTCTGGTTGTGTTTATTATTACTATTTTTTTTGTTGTAAATCTATGATGACGATTAGTCGTGTCGCTGCGGCGTCGTCAGCGTCTCAAGTTGAGCCATTTGATTTTTAATATTAACTATTGTGTAATGGAGTGCAACAAAATTTTAGATTACATTGTGCTATATGCTGGCTCAATTGTTGGCTGTTGTTTCTATTTACATTACGATACTATAACGCCAGTCGACTCGGGATCCTAATTAAGTCCACCATTTATACCTACAGCGTCGATTCCCACTGTTATCAGTTTTCCAATGTGGATTTTGGGTTCGAATTGCTCTCGTGCCGCCACATACACCCAGTCGCGAACGAAGCGCGCTTCTACACGTTTCACATAACTAACGCAAGCGCTGCGGCGTCAGTATCGTCGCCGTGTCAGTGCAAGTGCCAGTGCGGATGAACTGTGCAAGTAGAAGCTTGACGGTATTTGAAACTGGACAAACAATTGCATTTAGTGTTCCGTTTATTTTTTGTGTTTTTTGCTTGAAAATATGTACAAATATGTACATAACGCTTGTATAAGCTAGTTACATATGTACATATGTGCGTAACTGCTACTGTGCGTGAGTAATTAGATCACAAATGTCAGATAAGAGAGATAATAAGCGCCAACTTCGTAACGCCAAGTAACAAAAAAAGAGTATTTTTGGTTGTTGTTTCTAAAAATTTAGATAACCCCAAAAAAATATAATAAAAAATAATATATGTAACCGCGTGCAAACCACTGTTTCCGGCATATAAATGTAATAAGTGCAAGCATTTACATATATGTATATTTGTTTGTATGTACATATGTATGTATGTCGTGCGCGATCGCTTATCAGCATTTGCAATTTATAAATCACTTGACGCTCTATAATAATTACTTTGTGTGCTAAATACGAAATACTTGTAATATTCGAAGTAATTGTGCGCGGCTGTGGGTGTTGAGCGTAAAGCTAGTATGCTCAGCCAATTACGCCGCTGGAAAAATTATTAACGCCATTTAAAAACATACCGATATATATAATATTGTAGTACATACTTAAAAGTGCTCGTAACCTTTCTCCTCTTGGCCTTTTCAATTACTTGACTACTACTGCATTGCATGAATAACGGCTTAGATAATCATTAGCAGTTCCGTGAAAACTATATTTATATAAAGAGTACATATATGTGTTTGTGTGCGTAATTATAAAACTTTGTTTGACCCTTAAATCAATGCAAATTCGCAAGTGTTTATTGCGTTCGGCAATGTCAGATTGTAGTGATAATAAAGTTGCGATCGATTTCGCTCTTGCAACAAATACGACCGGCGCGATGATAAAACTTCGAGAAACGGACGCAACAGCGGTGTGTAGGCGGAATGAGCAGAAATTGTTGGAAAACGATAACTGGAAGGATTATAAGAAATTAAAAACTTACCTAATACTTAAAGATAAGTTGGTTGAGAAGGTAAATACCAGAAGAAATGTAATTCTAAAGTCACTAGAAAAAAATATACATATACATATGTATGTATAAATATATAGGTAGATATATAAACATATTTACACATGTGTATGAATGTTTTAGATAAATACCATAAAACGGAAGTAATAAATTAAATTATGCACTGAAAATAAATAAAAAGTGAGCAATGCTTTCGTATTAAACTAATTGTCCATGAAAATTACAAAAGTATAAAATATTTAAAGGCTTAAAAATATTCTTTCATGGAAATAATTAAAAGTTTTAATAATATAAAATGAAGTTCGAAAACAGTGCAAAATTAACGGTTTAAAAAGAGACGTGCTTTTACCGTTACCACGACAGTCGGGTTTAAGTAAGCGAAACGTACACGGATTTTTATCCGACCAAGGACTGTCAACTCGGCACGATTCCTCGAAATTACTTCAGGAATGTTTTCTGTCACTACAACAACAGTCTTGCATTTAGTATTTTTAACGACCTTTTGCAACTTGCAATTTAATTTTTAATTTTTTTATAAACGAAGTAAGAATTTAAAATAAGTTGATAATATTCAGCAAATAAAATATGAATATTTCATTTTTGATACACGTCTAAAGCTGTTCAAAGTCATTACCGACGTTTGGGAATATATTAAATAATAATAAAAGTTAATTATACTAACAACTAAAATTATGAATTCTGACATGACATTTAAAAAAAATAATGTAAAGGAATTAAAATGAAGGGAAATATATTTGATTAAATAGAAAATTTTGAAATAAATATAAATAAAATAGAAAAAACGAAAATAATAGATAAGAATAGAAAAGGAAGAAAAACAGAAAAGAATGCAAAAAAAAAAAAATAGAAAAAATACAAAAAATACAAAAAACAGAAAAGAAGAAAAAAGTGGAAAAAATTTAAAAAATATAACAGAAAACACTAAAAAAAAACAAATAGAAAAAACAAGAAAATAATAGAAACCGCAAAAGAGAAAAATAAATATTTTTAAAGAAAAAATTGGAAAAAAATAAATGACTAAAAATCTAAATGTAAAATTATATAAAGATATAAAAATCAATTTAATTGTAGTTATGTATTGCTAAATTAAAAAACAATAATAATAATATAGAAATAGTTATATAATTAGAATTCGAAAATTTAAAATTTAAACACTGGAATTAAAAAAGAAAACACTACTAATAAAACATAGAAAATTATGAAGTACAAATATTTAAGTGAAATTTATAATATTTGTAGACAACAAGTATTTAATTGTATTTAAAAATTATAAAATATAACTTTAGGCATATCTACTTTTTACTATATAATATAAAACCCCTATAAAGTGTATACATACATACATATGTATATAACTGATAAACGTGACGAGCTGTGTAGTTCTAACCATGTCTGTCTGTCTATCTGTATATACCGGAACTAGTCCCTCAGTTTATGAGATATTGAACGTAGCACACGTCATTTTCTCCTCAAGAAGCGTAGCTCAGATCATTTGTCGGAACCGCTGATGTCGGACTACTAACTGATCCTTGTTCCCTGTTCCTTGTATGGACAACTTTTTTTATTTTACAAATTATATTCACGAAAATTGGCATAGATTAATGCCTAAGGCAGATCGGACCACTATAGCATAAAGTTGTCATACAAACTGACAGATTAAAATCAAGACTTTATATTCTTTTATGCTGTAAGAAATACACGTGTGAAAAATAGTATAGCTTCAGCCCCACTGAAGTTAACATTTTTTCTTGTTTAAAAATATTTAAGAATGATTATATAGAACTTATATAGTCTAAAAAATATAAATAAATATTTCTGCGTAAAAAATGTGTATTTTACTATTACAAAAGTATTTCAACTTCATGAATGACCTCAAATTACTTTCAAAACGTATTCTAAATAAAATTCATACTTGTGTTTTCGCCAAAAGTTGTTTAATATTAATTTTTAAAGAAATTTGTGACGCTTGTTAATTGTATTATTGTTGTACTGGTTAAAATTTTTTGAACTATTCTATTCTCTATCAATATTAATTACATTAATGAAGGCATGACAGACATTTATGCTTAAATATTGACGTAACAAAAACGTTAAAATGTAAAAAAATTACGCCAAGTAATTGTCACATTTATTATAAAAATAAAAGCAAATATTTAATTTCATTGTTATAATTGTAATTATTTGCTTATTCAATTAGACAATGTGTAAACTATTTATTTAATTTAATTTAATTTTTTTCTTATTTTCTTTCAGACTACTCAAACACCTGAAAATGAACGCTCCTATACGTTACGTAAGAAACCTACATCCGTCACGGAACGTACCACATTTGTGTGTTATACCTGTGGCGGCGACACGCCCTCCTCACGTTTGCGGCTTGTGTATTGCTGTCCAAATGCAGAGCGCGAACCCTACTATCCTTTCATAAAAACAATGAAAGCTTTCAAAAATGCTAGTCCAATCAGTCCACAGGGTGAGTAGTATGATATACTTTGCAAAACAAAAAAAAAAATTATATAATTTTTCTCTAAATTTAAACTAGGCATGGTGCAAATATGTTCCTCATGCTATGAAAAGCATTTATATTTGGCGGAGGGTGGTAACAACACTACAATGGCAGCGGCTACCTCTACCGGCCGTATATCTGGTGGACCCGCTGACAATAATGCGGCCGGTAGTGGCGTTGGTGGTGCCGCTGCAATTTACAGCGTAGATGGTGACGCAAACCTCAGCAACAACAATGTGATCGCAACAAGCGCTGAGGGTGCAGGACGTTACACACCCTCCGAAAAGTCGTTGGCCAACTCGGATTCGACAAGTAATGTGAAATTTAAGGTGAGCTAAGTTCAAACCAAAACAAAACAAAAACAAAAAAAAAATGAAAAAAACGACGTACATGTATTTGTGATTTATGATCACGATAAGTGTTGAGTGGTGATTATCAATTTTTACGCCAGCCGCTGCAGGTCCTCAAAATAACTGTGCTACAAATTAATGCATGTTTGTGTTTGAATGGGGTTTTCATATTTGAGTGTTAATACTTAGAGTGTTATTAACTAGTCTTATAATAAGTGGGTAAAATATTTTCACTCTACTGCAAAATATTTGCTCTAATAGGTCCACATACTTGTACTATCCGTATATCAGCATTTTTTCGTACACATTCAACCAAACAAACATATTTACTCAAGTGTACTACATAATAATAAAAATAATATTCCGACATACATATATATAGACGCATTTAAAATATACGTTCGGCATCAATGCGATTAACAGGCACTTATATTTATTTTTTGTGTGATAACGTCGAATGTCAATAAAGGTGCCCACTCCATGTAACAGAGGCTATCATTCGGGGGCAATAAAACAGTCACCTTTTGCCTTATCAGGCCAAGCAACCAATTCACTGTATATATACAAGTCAGCGAGTCAGCGAGCGTCAGCAGCCATGCATTGTACTCATATATTGTACACGCTGTCGCGCTCTATTGAATGCAAAATGATTTAAAGATTAAACAGAAGGCGAATACAACAGGAGAACATGTAGCAAAGAAAAACAAGAAAATACTTTAACTTCGCTTGCACCGAAGCTGTAATACCCTTCACAGATGCATTTCTTATAGCATATTATATATATATTTTCTTACAGTGTGAAACACAGGGCCTCAAAACATAAACGGCTATGAAAAGATTTTTATATCGATTTTGCTCGGTCAGTTTGTATGGCAGCTATATGCTATAGTGGTTGGATCTAAACAATTTTTTCAAAATCTGTAGCGTTGTCTTGGACAATGAACTATGATAAATTTTGTGAAGATATCCTGTCAAATGAAAAAGTTTTCTACCCAAGCACTTGTTTCCGATCGTTCAGTTTGTATGACACACTACATAGAGCACATTGATTCGATATCGGCGATTCTGATTAAAGTGCAGTTACTTAAGGAGAAAATCGCATAATCTCTAAAACTGTGTTACTACTAAACAGATAAAAGGACATGGCTAAATCGACTCAGCTCGTAACGCCGAACATTTTTATATATATTGTATAGCGGCTGCGCCGTTTTCTTCTAGGTGTTACAAACTTCGTGGCAAACTTAATATACCCTGTACGGGGTATGAATATGCGATTGTAGCAGTTAGGCCAATACATGAGCAGACAGACAGCCAGTAGTGGATGTTACAAAAATTCCGCTATTATGGGAAAAATACTAAATGTGTGACAATCTCCGTAGAAAATGCTGTTATACTACGACTATAAAAATGTCTATAAGTTTTGTAAAAAACAAAAAAAGAACAAAAAGTGATTGCGACTTTTTCGCGCTGAAGGCCGTTCGTTGGTTAAATTGGCGATTTGCAGTATGCGTGTATGTTGGTAGATGTCAGTTGAGTAAGAGCATGTTGAATATTCAAGTGAAGCATTTCACTTCAAGTGCTCAAGTTTTGCTTTTGCGATAATTAAACGCTCTTTTATTATTAGATTTGAATTGCCTTGGGCCGAACCACCTGAATACCATTCGAATGACAATTGTCTGGCTGACGCACGCGTTGGTTGGTGCCTTTTTATTTCCAAACATTTATTGAGAAAATTTCATTATCAATATCACCGATTAATATGCCAACATGTGAACAAACTCAAGTCAACAAATGTCACTGATAAGATAATAAGCCTACAATATTTTATATTTTTCAATTTTGCGTGCTTTGTTTTTATTGTATTTCTACTACTCGTATAGTATTTATTGTACTCGTAATGAACTTGCAATAAAATTTACCTATAAAAAGTAGTGAGCTTATAATGCGCTTAGGAAATAAAATGAAATGGCGTATGTGCGTATATATGTACATATGTATGTATGGCTTTTTTATTATAAAACTTTTACTAATTTCACCCAATAAGCATTGTGCTAGATAATGGCTTGAGTGAGCAAAACGAGAAGTTGAAACATACCGTTAATTTCATAAAACTAGACAAACAATTTCGTTTCTCATTTCTCCTTTCATTTCTGAATTAACTCTACATATAAACATCTTTAGGAACAATTGTTTCGGAAATTGTAGTTTTGCCTTGAACAATAATCCCTGCCTAGTTTACAGAAAATATCTTGCAAAATAAAAATATTTCCGTATGAGAACTTGAATTTGATTGATCAGTTTATATGGCAGCTGTATGCTATATTGATCCGGTCTCAACAATATGTTCAGAGATTGTTGCATTGCCTTTGAGCAATAATCTGTACCAAATTTCGTGTAGCAATCTCGTCAAATCAAAAAGTTGATTTCGATTATTCAGTTTGTATGACAGCTATATGCTATAGTGGTACAATATCGGCGGTACCGACAAATGCGCCGCTTCTTGAGGAGAAAAGAATGTGTGCAAAATTTCAGCGTAATATATCATAAACTGAGGGCGTAGTTCGCGTGTTCCAGCGTGGATAGCTCATCGTTGTTGAGGTCAACGACTGGCAAATGATGTATTACAAATTTTGTGCTGAATTATTGTAAATTTTAGTCTAATTTAAAAAAATTATCTTGATTCGCCTCAGAAATCTTCGAGCATTCCTAATGGAAATCAAAAATATTATGTAAAAAATCGTATTATTATGAAAAAAATTAGCAGCGCCCTCTATTTGAATTTTGAAACATTCGCAAATGTTTATATGTTCAATAACGCATTAAAAACAAAATTCAAAAACAGTAGTCCTTTCTTTTACCAATCCTAATGTGTACTGGGTGTAAAGCTGAATAATCAATCAGTGTTTATTCTACTTGGTCAATTTTGTGGAATTATATTGTTATTTAAACTAGTTGAAACCAGTTTAATTGAAATGTGCAATTTAGTGGTCGAAATTATTTTTAAAACACATTTATTTATTACAGTCCATTTGTTGCTTATACCAAATTGCGATAACCCAAGAAGGAAACGTGATTAATTTTTTTATTATAGTCCATTTATTGCTTGTACTAAATTGCGATAACCCAAGAAGGAAGCGTGGTTAATTACTTGTGTATTTCTTGTTTAAGGTTATATTTAAGTTATAAATGTTGACCCTACAAGATGTGTGTCGGCAATAAAAATCAAGCAACATACAAATTTACAAATATGTATTCGAAATTGCTAGAATACCCTCCACAGGTGCATTTCTTATGGCATCACAGGGTAAAGTTTGTGTGGCAGTTATATGCTATAGTGGTCAAATCTGAACAATACGTTCTGAAATTAAAGCTTTGTCTTGAACAATAAGCCATGCCAAATATCTTGAAGGTATCTTGACAAAAGTTTACACAGGACTAACCTTCAATCGGTCAGTTTGTATGACAACTATATGCTATTGTAGTCCGATCTGAACAATTTCTTCGGCGATTGTCGTGTTGCCTTGGACTATAAGCTGTATGGTAGCTATATGCTATAGTAATCCAAACTGAATAATTCGTTCAGAGGTTCAAGCATTTTCTTGGACAATAATCTATGACAAATATCGTGGAGATCATTTGTCAAATAGCAAACTTTTCCATACAAGAACTTAACTTTGATTGGTCAGTTTGTATGGCAGCTATATGCTTTAGTGATCCAATATCGGCGGTTCCGACAAAAAAGCCGCTTCTTGAGGAGAAAAGGGCGTGTGCAAAATTTCAGAGCGATATCTCAAAATCTAGGTGCTTAGTTTGGTTCAGGGTATAAAAAGCGACGCAACAAATGACCAAGACGCTTGGAATTGCGCGCACTCCAGCTAACTTCTGCATGTTAAACTTGAGCTCAATGTAGACCGCTTTCAGCGGCTGATATCGAGGAATTAGTTAAAACCAGTAAGCAGCAGTGACTTTCTTTGATATCTAATCACCACGAGAATGCTTAAGTAAACGCGTTTCGATTGCGGCAATTACCCCAGCGTGCATGTGCGTTATATATATGTGTGTCTGTGTTGACTTTGTGGCATTTGCCGGTTTATACCGCCATGTTAGTACATAAATACATTAACTAAGTAAATAAATATAAATATAACAAATTGCGTGCGTATATTCTAGATTACAAAGCAGTGCTGTGACAAAGCAAGATATATTTATTCATAAAATTTTATCTTTAGTATGGATTTGAAATGTGGCAGTGTAAACCTATTTTTTGATTTATAGCTTCATTATTATTATTTAAACTTTTAAACATGTGTAATACATTATTTATTTGCATATACATACATATATATATATATAAGTATATACTGTAGCTTCAGTTTTTCAATGTATTAGTATTTGTGTTTGTATTTGCATGCCATATATCTTTGCTATTGTCCGGTAATGTAGTAATATAGGTGCCTGCTAACTATTTCACTTCCTTTCCAGCCATACGAACCGATTTCAAATAGTTCTCCATCCACACAGCGTGATTTCAAATTTGCACGACAGGGGGATTCGCGTCCCAATTCGCCGACATCATCATCTCAGGGCCCTGGCGAGAGTGAGCGTGGACAATATCCGTAAGTTTGCATATATCTTAGAATTATTAATGTGAGAACCTGTGCTATAGCACTGTCGAAACTCAAATCATTTAAAGTAAAAAATTATAAAAAGTATCATATCAGAAAATTTTCGAAAAAATTTTTTTTTTTTTAAATATGGGAAAAAAAATTTAAATGCAACTCAATTTGGTTTTGTTTAATTTTTTCTTCAAAATGTTTGCGCATACAATTTGAAATGTTCTGAGTTAAAAATAGTAGCGAGTTTAGTTTTTTGAAAATGTTTCGAAAATTTTGAAAAATTACCCATCAGAGTAGATTAAGAAATTGAAATTATTTGATCATTACCTGTCAAATATTTCTAAGAAGATTGTGCGAAATTTTCAAGTCGATCAGTTCAGCCATTTTCTCATTGACTCTGAAACAGTGTTTCGTGAAAAACGTGGAAAAAGTTCCGGGAGTCGATTACACTAATTTAAAAAAAGTTCTTACAAATCTGAAATATTTGCCGGATAAACTACAAATTTTCGGAGCACATTCTTAAATATATGTACATTCGATATGTATGCAAGTAACAAAATGATTTTTTGAAATACACGAATGGATATAACCGCTTAAAATCTCTTACAATTTATAATCGAGAAAAAAAAATCGAAAATTGCATTTATAAGATTTCCATATATATTTGCTGATTAAAAAATCAATATTAATAAAATTTGTTGAATTTACTTGCTTCATACAGTTGTTACATTTGCAAAATCCTTTGCGCCGCCAATAAAATGGAATGGTTATCCACTAGCGCTGAGCATATGAACTCGCATGCCATGCACTTTCCTTGCTTACGCAGCAGCAGCAATAATGGTCGTGATAATGTCAGCCTAAGTGGCAATGGAAACACAGCCAATAATAATGATAATAATAATCGTGTGCTTGCCTGTAAGGATTGTGTGAATTATTTGGCACGCCAATGGGAGACTATGGATGCTGAGCGTGTGCCATTGGAGCATAGAAGGTACAATTCAGATACTTACTTGCGTATATACATATTTTCATATATCTTTAATTGCTTATTTGCTTTTATATTTATAGATATAATATACCTTCGCCGATGATCACTTCGAGCTCACCAAATGGTTCACGTCATGGTGGCCTAACTATAACTACACCACCGTCTACGCCTTCCGTGTCTTCAACACCTGCCAGTACATCGATTTATTGTTTTCTATGTGGTTTACATTCGGATTTGACATTGGCGAGGGTGTTGTATGCCAGTAAAGAGGTAAATTTTGTAATTCCCTGTTATTAGAATTCGTCAATACATATATTCAGATAGCATTAAATACTTTTATTTAAACGTATGCGGTTATTTTTGCTATGACATTTACTTTCATTTCAAACATGTACGAAATCGGGATCGATTTTTCGAAATAAATACATCTTAGAGCACTTATAGGTATATAAAAAAATTCATAAAATTCCAAGAAAACAACAGTTTGAGGGGTATATATTTGCTTTAACACCAAATTTTTTGAAAAGATGTGGTTGATTTTGTGGATGTGATAGATTACTTTATAAAAATAGATTAAATTTAAAATTCTATTTTAAGTACTTTTTCGAAGTTGATACTATTTGTTGTTGTATTTAAAATATATTCGAAAAATATTTTTAAAGAATAAATCATGTTGAAATATCGATGTTATGAGTTGTTGCTGTTATAATAGATACGTTTTTTTTTAAATGAAAATTAGTATAAATTTTTTTCGAAAAGATGTGGTTGATTTTTGGAGGTGATAGATTACTGTATAAAAATAGATTAAATTTTAAATTCTATTTCAAGTGCTTTTCCGAAGTTGATACTATTTGCTGTTGTATTTAAAATACATTCGAAAATAATTTTAAAGAATAAATCATATTGAAATATCGATGTTGTGAGTTGTTGCTGTTATAATAGATACGTTTTTTTTTAATGACAATTAATATACATTTTTTAAATCCCAACAATTACTACGATTAGTTACCCAAATGGTAGTTATTCATTTTTAGTTCGTACATATATGGTAAATGATATCGGATTTTTATTCCAACTAACTTAATTTAAGTGAGAAACTGAAAAATTTGAAAATCGGCGCTCAATATATACCCAGTTTACAGCATAAAATCAGTTGCATCAGTTCTTTTGAAGTTTGATATTTTCGAAAACGCTTTTGTCTAAAATGTGTTTTAAGTAACGTTTTTTTCGTTTTATGCATCGAGCAAAATAAATGAATATATTTAGATTTTTTTTTTAGAAATTTAAACCCCTATTTTATTTTCAATAAAACAATAAAGTTCAGTATATTTTTACGGTATTCAAAACAAAAATTAACTTCGATTCGATTTGATTTTTTAAATTTGAAAACAATAATAACAACAATAAAAAACTGCGAATCTGAATTAATTTTTTACTTGAAATTACCTTATCCTGCAAAAATAATAAATAGGATCTCCGATTCGATTTTTCGATGTTCGAAAAATTTTCGAAGTTGAATTTTTTCTGTAAATTGAAATAAAAAGGTGTTATGTTTACATTTCTGCTATATTAATGCACGAAAAAATTTTAAACTTGCGACTTTATTTTCCACAATGCTCTCATATGGTATGAGCATATCATTTTATGTAATAAATTCGAAACTTTTAAACGGGAAAACTTAAAAAATCTTAATTTTATGGTATCTACAACTGACACATTTTGCATATACATATTTTTCCAGTAGTTATCCAAATAGGTACAAGTTGTTATTACTGTTAAATCTAAAGAATTACTCAGTATTTTCTCCAAAATTACATTACATTACTGACATTTTTTCATTTATATATTTTTATTTTTTTTTTTTACATATTTTTATTTTTTTTTTACATATTTTTATTTTTTTTTTATTTTTATATATTTTTTTTTTTTTTTATTTTTATATATTATTTTTTTTTTTATATATTATTATTATTTTTTATATATTTTTTTTTATTTTATTAATTTTTTTAATCTTTTTTATATTATTTATTTACATATATATATATATTTTTTTTTTTTTGGTATTTTCTGCGGTTTTCATATACACGTGTAAGTATGTATATTTTTTTATTTTGTTACGCATTAGCATATAAAAATTATAAATTTGCATAAACTGTTCAGAGACACACTTGTGAATATTTATAATCTGTGATAAATTATATTCAGTTAAAGAAAAATAAATTAAAAAATAACAAGAATAAAAGTAAATAAAAAGATAAACAATAATTTATTGCATTTCTAAGTTTATCTTTTCAAGTGTCCAACATCTCACTTCACACTTTATTTACAATAATATTAACATTTTATTTTACACTATATTTTTTGTTGCAGGGTTCACGACCATATTTCCCACATCTCCTCAAACACAACTCGCTGCCAAATGCTGAACAATTGCGCAAGGATTACTCAGCGCTCGTTTGCACATTTTGCTACCACTCCATGTTGAATCAGTGGCGCAAGTAAGTGTGTATAATGTACTCATTATAAGTACACTTCATATATATTTTTGCTTTCTTTTTGCCGCACACAATTTACTTAAGATAACAGTTATTATTATTTTTATTATCATTATTATCACTCGGTACAACTTTTGCAGGTATGAAGCGCAGACACCAGCTATAGCACCAACCGAACGCAAATACAATTGGCATGATTATATTTGTCATTTATGCGGCATTACGACATACCGAAAACGTGTGCGCGCACTACCGGTTAATGAGTTTCCATTCGTGAAAAATCGCAAAAATGGCGATGGACTTCTGTTGGAGAATGGCGAATATGCTGTGGTTTGTTTGGATTGCTACGAAAGTCTTAGGTAAATATAAAGCATACGTTTTTATTGCTTTGTCATATTTCCTACTTCATTTACTATCAATTTTCCACCAAAACTTTAAGCAAACATTTTGCTCGAATTCCACACTACAACACTCAACGCTATTACTAAACAATAATGCACTGTAAGAGCGCAATTACCAGTAAATAAAAAACAAAAAAAAAAATAAAATAAAATAAAAAAGTAAATAACAAAAATATGCAAATGTATGTGTAACTAATTTTCGCTTTTGTTTGCAATTATTTTATTTTTATTGCACTTGTATGTATTTGCATATGAAATCGTTTTTACGCTTTTAATTTATTTGCTTTGCTACCTTCACATACATATTGCATACATTTACAAACAAAAAAAAACAAATAATTTGCATTAGTAGATGATTTGGAATTGTTGCTCGGCTAATATTTTTCAGCACTAAACTGCTACCATCGCCTAAGCACAAACATAGAGAATTTATTTTTCATATATGCATAGACAAACATACATAGATGCATAGCGTTTGTTAGTAAATGCATTAAATGATTTGAGACGCCTACATCCTGCACACATACATACATAAAGCAAAAAGCATAAGAACATTGCATGTACGCAAATGTCAATTTCAGACAACAAGCCTCGCAACATGATCGTTTTGGTGTACCAATTTCTAGGCGTGGATACAACTGGGTGCCGCAACCACCACCGCCCGAGGACAGTCCGGATGTTGCTGTAGCGCGTTTGCCATGCGGAGAGCGTTCCGATCGATTTGTAAGTATTATTTAATTTGTTGTAACATATGTATGGTTTAAAGGGTTTTCCAAAAAGAGTGATATGATTCACAAAAAAAAAAACAACACGCTAATTGTTAAGGAAATTCAAATGTTTTATTATTTAATGTGAAGTTCAATAAATACAATTAAGTTCTGCATGTAACATCATTCAAATGGCCTCCACGACTTCTTTTGCATTAACGAATTCGATGAACCCAATTTTCTAGTACTTTTTCCACTAAATGAAGTCGTATGTCATGAATAGCACTTTCAGTATTGACTTCTAAAGCTTGAAGGTCGTCTGGTTTATTGCTAAAGACCAATGACTTCAAATAACCCCACAAGAAATAGTCTACTGGTGTTAAATCACAACTTCTTGGAGGCCATTCAATATCAAAATTTCTTGAAATTATCGAAACGAAATTGGAGGCCGTCACAATTTATTGAAATTCTCCAAACTGCAAACTTTTCTCGCAATAATTCGGTTGTTGCACGTCCTGTGTGGCACGTAGCCACGTCTTGTTGGAACCAGTTGTTGCCAAGATCAACTTCTAATTGTGGCCATAAAATGTTGGTTATCATCGCTCTTTGCCGCTCTCCATTGACAGTAACGGTGTCACCAGCTTCATTTCGAATGAAATACGGACTGATGATTCCACCAGACCAAAAACCACACCTAACTGTCAATTTAACTGAATGTAATGGTTGTTCATGAATAATTTGTGGATTTTCTTCGCACCAGAATTGACAGTTTTGTTTATATACCGCACCACACAGATCAAAGTGAGCTATACATAAAATGGCGCACGAAAAGTTGCAATTGGAGAACGATTATTTTGATGATAAAATTGAATAATTTGTTAACGTTGTTCTTGCATATATCTTCCCATGATGAAATTGTTAACATTACTGAATAAAATGACAAAAAAAATAATTACATATCAAAAATGACCGAAACGACACTTAGAAATCATATCATACCTATTGGAAAACCCGATATATGTAGTATAAGGTGTAATAATTATTTAGTAAATAATATCGGATTTATATTAAAATTAACTTAAAATAAGTGCGAAATATTGAATTTGCATACATTTTTTTTAAGTTAGAGATTTTCGAAAACGCTGCTTATATATTTTTTGAAATCACCATTTCAAAGTAAAGTAATTTTTTAGCATTTCAGGCTTAACACTTCGTAATTTGTAAGCTTTTAGTATAAAACAAGCAGTAAAGGCATTTTAAGCACTATTATAATTTTTGGAATTTTCATACATACATACATTAAGTGCATAATATGAATATCTCACAATTTTCTGTGCCAAAAGAAACTTTTTTCATAATTTTATCTAAAAATATCGCTCGATATATAATTTTTTTATATTCGAATTTATTTCGAGCTTTTCGAACTTTTTCGAAGTTTAATTTTTTGTAGAAATAAAAAGTGTTTGTTTACTAATCTGCTTTATTAATACTCCAAATGAATGTTCACTTTTAGACTTGCGATTATATTATATATTTCATAATGCTTTTAGTAAGCGTTTTATGTAATAAATTCGATACTTTCAAAAGTAAAGACTTGACTAATCGTAATTTTATCTCGGAAAAAATTATAGTTCCAATTTTATGTGCCTATTATCTGATTTTGTAAATTTGACTTAATTACTGAAGCAATAAATCACGCAGAATTCGATGTTTTTTGCCATGAAGTGTTTTTTTTTATTATCGTATTGTATTTTAACTCGCGTTTTTTGCTCACGTTTTTTGCATAAATATTTTTTTATTGTAATGAATGAATGATTTCACTCGAAATTGTTTTTATTATTGTATTTTCATTACACACGTGTGCGTGATAAAGGTATAAAGATAAGAACAAACAAGTGTCAGTATATACAGGGCATGGGCCTTACAGCCTGTAATATTATCTCTTATATTTCTAGTGTCGCAATAAAATTACTTAATTCACTAATTAATCTATATTGCTCACTAAATTAAGGCGATAAGTGAAAAATCATATATACATATGTTATTAGAAATTATTATATACTTACTTATTTACAAAATTTTTAAGTGGCTTACAAGTATGTAGGTCTGGTCCAACAAAAGTATTAAAGTATAAAATAAATATTAAGAGGTGTTTGAAGAGGATACTAAACATTATGTATTAGTTTCTGCACACTATTGAGTTAGTTTAACGCAGCTAACAAAATCATTAATCTATTTTGATGTTCGAATGTTTTCATACAATGGTTTATTGATCGAAAAAATTCGAATTGAAAATTTCAAATTTTCAAAAAATGGAAACAAAATAAAAACAAAAGCATTTATCTGTGAGTTACTTGATGTTTGACTTTTTTAACCATTAGTATTTTTCTATGTTCGAAAAAATTCGAATTGAAAATTTTAAACCTGCAAAACACGTAAACAAAAGACAAATAAAAGCATTTGTCTGTGAGCTACTTTATATTCGAATGTTTTTATATACCATAGTATTTAGCTTTGTTCGAAAAAATTTGAAATGATCAAAATTTCAAAAACTGTAAACGAGTTAAAAATAAAAACAATTAATTGTCAGCTATTTTATGGTCGAATTTTTTTGTGCACTAGAATTGTGCTATATTCGAAATAATTCGAATTGGCAATTTTAATACCCCAAAAGTAAGAACAAAAAGTTTGAATATTATTTTTGTTTTCTTTATTCACTACAGCCCATCAACACCACCCTCAGATCCATATCTAACAAGAAGATCGCATCGCCGAAGCATGGTGAAAAAACTAAAGATGGTAAGTTAAAGCAAAAATACTACTTTAGTTATATGCACATATAGTATATACTTGTACTTACAAATTAACAAATATAGTATTAAACGTAATGTTGAAATGTGAAACCCGAAAAGGTCATTTGCGTACGCTTAAGTAAATCAAAAGTTCAAACATTTTTTCATCGGCGAACAATTCGCTTCATTTAACATTTGTTTATTTGCGGAAGCAATACAACTACCCGAAAGTGTTTAATGTATGTAGACATGTTTAAAACTAATGTCTACGGTTTATATTTCAAACATGATTCTTTTTCGCCTCGGCTGCAGTCAGTCAATTGGCTGGAAGTGTTTATGGCCACATTTAAGTAGTACGCACCAGCTTCGAAAGCTACCTTCAACATTTAGTTACATATTATTAATACTTAACCGGTATTATGTGTTATTATTTAGTTGTGGCAGTTTGTCATAAGTACTTACTTGTATTTGTTGTAAATTAAAGTAAAAAGCTTCGCCAATCAGAGGACGAGTTGCCACAGAAGCTCAAATTAAATCTTCTGTTTATAAATTTTACTGAATATTTCACAAATATTATGTAGAATCCATAGAAAATCTAAAATCTAAACCTTACAAAACTCATCAGAAAGGAAATGCGTTGATTTCGAAATCTTAAAAGCTCACTTAGTAAACTTTTGAACTTCTTCTAATCTTTCAAAGCGTCAGCTGCTCGGTCTAAAAGTGGATTTTTTATTAGTGTTTTCGTATGGAGACCAGGAGATAAAAGCTTTAACATTGTATGTATTTTGTTCTGCCTTCTTTGCTTTTTATTGTTTTTCTTCGATAGATTATGATTTGAGTTCGTCAAAAGAATGCTCAGCTTTGTAATAATCCGAAAAAAAAAACAATTCGTTTACTTGGGATGCGGCTGGGTATAGAGATTGGACGATTAGGTGCCTGCATTAATTAATATTAAATTCTATATGAAGTCGATTGTCTGAAATTTTACGATTGCAGATTTTAGTAGATTCCCGAATATATTTGGACTTTATCCTTTTTAAACGTCAGAAACACCGAAAGATATTATTTTTGCAGATTCATCTTCGTCCTTGTTCGACGTCGAGGCGTATGAATTATAACAATGATGCAGAAGTGGCGCACAATTTAGTATTATTTGTTGCTTGACAGTGCACGAACTCGATAAAAAAATTACGAATGGCTCTACGAAACTCAGTTTTATATCATTTCAAATCAAGTTCTTGTATAGAATCTTGTTATTGTATCTTTACGAAATTCGGTCTAGATTATTGTCCAAGGTAACGCTTGTCCAAGGTAATCTCCGAACATATTTTTCAGATCGGACCACTATAGCATATATGTAGATGCCATACAAACTGACCGATCAAAATCAAGTTTAAGATTTTTTTTATACTCTTTTATGCTATAATAAATGCACCTGTGAAGGATATTATAACAGCCGAAGTTAACGTTTTTTCTTGAGGTTACCCCTCAACTGGCTCTCCCAGGCTTTGGAGTGCATTTGTGCAATAGAATATGTCATAATCGTATTTAATCAATCATTTAGTTGTAACTTAGAAATTATAGGTCACCTGTAAATCACATGACATAAAACCGCTAAATCAAACTTCATTTAAGAGTTTCCTTTTTTCATATACAGAATAATTTTCAGTTGCATTAACCTTAACTGTGAACCTATGCATTTCCTAACATAATATAGTTCGCTCATATATTCAAACTTTGCTTTGCACATTGGCAACTCTGCTCGTACAAATTGCTGGCATTATCCTCTCACTCCCAAATACTGTACGGTCAAATGGTGCGAGTACTAACTAAGTGCCAGTATATGTAAATCTTAAGTAATTTTAACTCGGAGCAAATCGCAATGCATACCTGCTAACTTTGCTGTGGCTACAAATATATGCATACCTATATACATACATCCATCCATATATCCCTATTGTACATTGTATGACTGCCTGTATTATTTACACTTCACCCACACCAAAAACGCGCCGTAAACTTTGCTGTAATTTTTTTTTCGTTACTCATTTTATTATTTTCCACCCAACCCCACTCACTTAAATACTCAACAAGCTCAGCAATTTTCGCACTGGTACTCTTTGTGGCATAAAAACCACAATGGCAGACTGTTACGAATGCGAGAAGTCAGTCGTGTGTCCACTGAAGGATATTGGTTTGATTTTATTGCGGCCATCAGTTTCGTATTTCATCCACATGCATGTGTATGTGTATGTATGCGTGTAGTGTATCTAAATGCTACTAGTAGATACATGTACTCCACTTCACCTCGAGGTACACAGAGGCCAAGTGCAGTTCTTTTCGACGCTAGTGTCATTGTAGTTGCAGCCAGTGTAGTTGATGTGCACTTCGTTGCGGTAGTGTGTGTGTGTGTGGGTGCACACTATAAGTTCTACCACCTTATGTACCGACGTTAAAGTTTTTTTTACACGTTCCGAATTCGGCAGCATGGGGATGCATTTATATTGCTGCAACCACACGGCTTCAATTTTCGGGTACTTGCTCTCTATTGACTTTAGCGTTGGGCTCGTTTGGGCGCTTGGCGCTCCAGAGCGCGCACATTATCTATGCATACAAATGTGTATAGATATATGTGTGTAGGTGAGCATTTTGTCTTCGTTTGATGTAACCAATGTGAAGTTCTCGTACTCTTTTCGTATGCAACTCAAGAAATGTTTATTCAATTACCCACTCTTGTTTCTATATTTTAAGATTATATACGCCAATCTTTAATAATTACATATATTTAGAAAGCTCATTATTAACAAATTTTGGCGTGACACTCTTATTTAGTTACACCAATGCCTGGTGTCTGGCTCTCAATGCATTTGCTGTGACCACTTCTTTTGTGGGGTTGTTTGTTGTTGTTGCTATTATATCTTCAGTTAAGCGCTCAGCTCAACTGAGAAGTACTGTTTCCGTTACGTGTACTCGGAGAATTTGCTATGCTCTAGTATCGTGTCTCTAGCATCTGCATCATATAGCCCGTTGAGCTAGAGGAGAGAAGAGCGAGAAGAGCTGACATTTGGTGGTTTACTCGAAAGAAGTGTAATACAACCCTCGTGTAGGACTCACCCTCTATGTGTATGTCCTCTATACGTTGGATACAGCTACAGTGACTACTGCAAAGTTGTGCTTGAGCGCATGGTTTTGTAATACACATATTTTATATAAAATTTTTGAGTTGTAGTTTTATAAAAAAAAAACAAGGTTTGTGTCTTTCAATGACCGCAAAAAAAAAAAAGACTTGCGTAACGTAAATTTATTTAAACTTACTGCGTCATGGTGTGTACAGTGTTGGAAAATTTTGAAAGCTCTTAGAATAAGCTTAGCTTCCACTGAGGGTCGTTGTCCCTCTTTCAGAAACTCTAATAATAAGTTTAAAATTTTATAACCCAATTTTAATTAAAGTTGTTTTGTTTTTGTTTTACTTTTTGGTTGTTAAATTGTAATGCCGATGAAAGCTCGAAGCTCTTGTAAGCCCATGCAAGTTCTCTAAGCTTTCAAAGTGAGGTTAAATATCTAATCTAATATTTAATTTGAAAAAATGACAAAAGTTAATATTTTTCATATATATTTCTCACAAAAAAGCTATAAAAGCTTTCTGAATCTCCTTATTTAACTCCTGTATCATCTGTTTTTACATTTTGATTGTTAGCCAATGAAAGTTTTAAAAGCTCTAACAATGAGTTTTTTATAATAGTCGTATTTTATTAAATTTTTACTAAAGGAGAAATATTAAACATGCTTTTTGACTTTAAATTGTATCACCGATGGAAATTTTAAGCACTAGTAAGCTATGAGACCCGAATCACTTCATGTCCGTTATTTGATTTGAAAAATCAATGAAAACTCTAATAACAAGTACTGTAAAAGTATTACAGTTTCAGTTCTGATAAGCTAACCCTGACAATGAAAGCTCTGAAAGTTCAGAAAGCTCAATAAATTAAAGAGTTTTTTTTGGTATTTTTTTATTGTAGGATATCGATAACCTTTATTTTTATACCCCAAACAGGTTATATTAAGTTTACCACGAAATTTGTAACATCCAGCAGGGAGCGTCGGAGAACCTGTAAAGTATATATGGTACATAAATGATCAGTGGGACGGGCTATTGCAATTTGGCAATATCCATTTGTTCGTCTGTATATACGCGCACTAGTCCCTCAGTTTTTGTGATATCGATCTCAAATTTTGCACATGGTATTTTCTCCCCAAATAGCTGCTATTTTGCCGGAATCACCAATATTGGACCACTACCTGAAATACAAACCGACCGATCAAAATCCAGTTCTGGTATGGAAAACTTTATTATTTAAAAAAAAATCTTAACGATATTTGGCATAAAATATTGTCCAAAGTGATATGCACCTGTGAAGGGTATTCGAGCTTCGGTGAAGCTGAAGTTAACATTTAATTAATTGTTTACTGTAAAATTTGCTATGCCAGTGAAAGCTCTAAGCTCTAATCGATGAAAGCTCTAAAAAGTCTAAAGTCATCGTTATCTGAAAGCTGATAAAAACCTAAAAACAGTTTTTTTTAGGAATATTTTTCCAATTCACTGTTACAAGAATTACTAAAGTGGGAGTTCAAAAACGCTTTGCTATTATTGTATTATACACACGCGCGTCAGCAATAAAAACGGCAGCGACGTCAACATCACAGCAGCAGCGTTTATGATGAGGATGTTATCCCGCTGTTCCGGTGTCGCTTTAATACCGTTTATGCTTATTACCGACTCAAATCTATGACTGTATCGCATAAATATCACTGTGTGTGTATGTGTGAGTGTGCATGTATGAGCGCGTGTGTTTTTGTAAGCCAGTGAGTAAGTCAAGCATCACATCACACACCGATAAACAGTAACTAAGAAAGAATTTGTGAAGATATGCAACACTTCCTGTTACAACAACATACAAACATACGAACAAGCAGCGCCATTCATACAGTTCAATGGTTAGACTGAGC